TTGATGTCTGCCAAGGCAATAAGAATTAAAGCTAACCATGCAAAACTCTTTAACCATCATGATTTTAACTGTTAGAAAACAGAGTACGTATTATATTGTTATTTTCAGCATCTTAAAGAATTTCCAGATAAATGGAAGAAAATAGATTTTCCCACTTGCTACTATGCTGACCATAAATAAGAACTTGGCATTTCCTTTGCAAACAAAACAAAACAAAACAAAACAAAACAAAACAAAACAGAAAATTGTGGTCATTCAGGACTAGTAGAAAATGGCAGATAATTTACTAATCCAAATCCAGTTTGTGGGTTAGACTCAAAGTGTGAGCCTTCCTATCTAGCTTAGGCAAGCCCTGTTGTAGACTCTGCTTTTCCAGAAACTATGCTCCCCAGACTATAGAGAAAGAGGCAAACTCATTCTTCATGCATGGTGAAAAAGAGAGTTAACTTGCAACAGAGGAAGAGACAATATATGTAGAAATCATGTGTATATCTTTATCTATATGCCTAGGAGAGGACATGATTATATTCATAGTTTGTTTTCACATATATACTAGAAAATGTGTGCAATTGCACAAAGGCATTTTGTGAGGCAATTCCGTACATAAAGGGTAGCCAGAGAAAATAGTGCTGTTTCAGGGTATGGAAATGTTCTACACTGTTGGTGATGAACACAAAGGATGGGCAATGTACAAAGTTATTGCCTGAAATACATTAAATGTAAATAATCCCAATGGAACAAAGACATGAGGCTTCTTCATATATATAATATGTATAATACTGATTTTAATTAATATAAGGCATCCCTTAGGCTTATTTGATATAACTGAATCAGTTGATTCTTGCCTATGAGAGTTCACGTTTCAATAGACAACATTTTAAAGTGCTGAAAGATACAGTTTTGTACCAAGAGGTTTACACATTTATGGGCTATTCAGCCTTTAGTTATACTCAGAGATCCAAAAGGAGCTACAATCAGTTGATTTATATCACTAACCCTACTGGATCCAAGACACTTATAAATACAATATTGTCCGATCTCAATCTACGGGTTAAGAAAAAGGAAGGGTGTGGAGTAAAATAAAGCAAACAACACAGATATTTGTTTGGGCAAGACATTTATGCTGTTTAACATCTAGCCAGGAATATTTTCAAGCCACCTGCTACCATGTCAGGTTAACTATATGTATCAGTTGAATTACGTTGAGCAGCTTGTCAACTTCTGATAGTGTCCTTTCATTAGCATCTTTGTGAAGCTTCTGGCCTTTCCTCTGTCTTATAATGCAGAATGTATCTGTATGCAGAAATATCTACTGCTTTTTCTCAGAAGATGGCCAGATGTATTGATACATTTTTATCACAGTTAGTGAGCAAACCAATCAAATACAATCAAAACAATCAATAAAAACTAAGTGAGAATATGCCATTTCTATACTTTTCAAGTGTTTGAAAAGTGGCACTCAACTGATGCCAGGATAAGTTATCATTTTACAGCGATTATCAGGAATTAGGGGCCAACCACATTAATTAATTGATTGATTGATTGATTGTACAGTTTGTTCCCAAATGAAAGGGTAGCTTGGAAACTAGTTTCATGGAAATAATTTACAGGAGGTGGGGGAAACTGCATATAAATTCCTCAGCAAGTTTTCTACTGAAATTCCTAACACCATTGAATATGTTGCATTTTAAATGGTAATACAATTTCTTATTTTTATATCGATATAATTTAAGCATTATTATTTACTAAAAAAAAGAAGGCCTAGGTACCCCTGTTCCTGTTATGAACTACAAGAAAAAAAGCGTAATCAGTACAATTATTTATTTGATTCTTTTAAACATATTAACTTCTAACAGTATTTAGAAAAGATTTATTTACTCCCAACTAACCATTACCTGTTGTTTAAAGGTCCATTAATTATTAAGATAAATACATCAAAGAGGCCACTTCAAGTACATGTACTATTTTGATTTTTAAGATAACATACAAATGATAATTTTTTACAGACCATAAGGCCATTTTTCAGCTTGGTCCCAGAATATGGTTAACCTTCATGAAGCTTTGACAACTTATTATACAAATCTAATGAGTTGGAGCAGGGAATGTGTTTCATTCAACTTTTCTATTTCTCATTGCAACAACTTTTTCCTAAATACATGTGAGTCAATAATGAGATAAAACACTTTAAAACAGCTTCCAACTGATTTGTTGAGATTATAACTCCTACAATTTTAAGGAATGCATGTGTCCAAAGATACATAGAGAAGTATCATCCCACATCTGATGTATCAATGAGTTTTTTGATCAATGAAGGAGAAGTTTTTAGGAGATCATCAATGAGTGGTTAGAATTAAAAATATTTATTTATTTAAATTAGAAGACCAAATGTATTTGTTTGATTTATGCCTGTAAAGTATACAAGGCAGCTCAGAAAAACTAAAATGAATCCAATTTCCACGGGAGAATGATCCCACTGAGAATCTGAAAACTGATGTGCACATGTTTTCTATAAATATTGTTCAGAGAAAAGGGGTAATTAATTACTAAAATAGGCACATTACCTTATTGAATTGCTAGGGATCCATAGGCAAGGGAATAAGAGTCTGCTAGCAATTAAATATGAACATATGACTTGTTTAACAGTAGTCTTAAACTGTAAGAAATTAACTAGTCCATAGGCATAGAGGCACATTTCATCAGCTTTATACTATTTGTATAGCCCAACACCATGATTTCCCTGTGTGAATTTTTTTGTTGGCCTCTGGTGACAATCAGTGAAATTGAGTGGGTGCAATGAGACAATTGAAAGGACCTAATATACTAACTGTATAATCTGCAGAAGTATCAACAATGAAAAGGGAGTGTATAGCTATCAATGAAAGGACTCATTTTTAAATATAAAAAATATTTAATTTTTTACATGTAAAAAAACAATAATCTCT